AGAAATGTTTCTTTTTTAAATTCAATATAATATATTTATTAAATAATAGTTAGGTTTAGTAGTTAAAACTTAAAATAATTAGAAAACTAAAGATTAGTTTTTTAAGATATATTTAAAATTAGTTTTTTATAAATATTAATAAAAGACTTATAAATATAGTTAAACTTTAGATTTTAAATAAACTTCATAAAAATTATATTTTAGTTAGATTTAGTTTAAGATTTAAAGCTTCATTTCTTTTTAAGTCATGTATTTTAAATATTTCTAAATTAAATAATAATATAGATTTAATTTTAGTATTTATATATTTATAAAAATTTGTAAACTAAATTGTTTTAAATATGAAAAATAGTAAATTATTTTCTTTTGAAATAGTAGTTAGATTACTTAAAAATAAGCTTATAAAGAGTAATTTAATCATATAAATTATTACAAAGAAGAATTATTTTAACATTCTCTATAAAGCTATTTATAAAAATATTAACTTAATAGATTTTTATAATTAATAGTTTAATTGTTATCATTAAGTATTAATTTATATAATTCCTAATATTTAAAAAGCTTTTATAGTTACACATTTCTTATAAGTTATTAAATTTAAAGTCCTATTATTAATACAAAGTTATTTTAACATTTTTATAAAAATTTAAATATTGTAAAAACATTTTTAGTAAAATTGTGTATTTAAATTTTTAATAAAAAAGCTTAAAATTAATAAAATATTTATAGTAATTAGTAATAAATTTAACAACTTATAAGCTTTAAATTTAATTTTAAAAAGATTTAAAATTCCAAAATTAATATTTAAAAATAAGGAGTTTCAAAAATTTAAAAATACTTTTAGAACAGTTAAAAATTATTTATATTTGGAATTTATTAGTAAAAATAAACTTTATGATGTGTTTAGTTTTTTAAAAATTATATAAAAATTAAATTTATATTAACTAATAGGATATTTTATTGGTTAGTTTTTATTGAATATTACGATTAAAATTTAAAACAATATTAGAATTAAAGTATTTTTAAAAAGATAAAACCTAGCTTATTAAGATTTTATAAATAAAAGATAATTTAAATCACAAAATATTATAAAAATAAAAAGATAGACTACTAAAAAATATATCATATTTTAATATAATAGCTATTGTTATAGTTATCTTATCATATTTAAGTTTAATTATTTTTAAAAAGTTTAGAGAAAAGATTAAACTTATTTTTGATATAAATGAAAAAAATTATTAATAACTTTTTATAGCTTTTTATAATTTATCATAGTATAATTTTCAATTATATTACTAATAATTTAAACCTTTTATAAAATTATAAATTATTCAAAACAATTTAGAAACTATTATAAGAAATTAAGGTTTTATAATTTATAGAGTAAATATAAAAGGTTTTTTATAAAGCGTCGTATAAATTTAGTAAAGAATAAATAGATGATTTTATTTTTAAGAATACTTTTTATATTAAAAGATTTGAAATTAATATTATTTTAATATTATTTTTTAAAAATAGTTAAATATTTAGTTATATTAATAAGATTTATTTTAAAAAGGTTAGAGTTTTACTTTAAATATTAATAAATATTAATAATATTTTATTTTTTTAAATGTAAATCTATTTCTAATTACTTTATTTTATTTTTATTATAAATTTAACTTAATATAAATTGTTTAAAAATTATAAACATTATTTAATTAATAATAATAACCTCTTAAAAAGACCTCTAGCTATTTATTATAAGTTTACTTACTTAGAGCGATAGACCTTCTAACTCTGTACTTCCTAATAATATGTATAGCTTTTAGTTATATAATCCGTAATAACTTCTTAAGTTTTTAATTATATCCCTCTCATAATTTTAGCTATACTTATATGTATAGATAGAACTTTATAATCTTTAACTTTACTTTAGTAATAATATAGTTTATAATTACCTAATTATTATAGATTATTAAATAATGAACTTATTCTCTCTTTTATATATTACTTATGCTATTAACACTATCTCTATTATTGTTTTACTATCTGCTATTCTTCTTATTTAATTAAGCTAGCTAACATTTTTATAGTAGCTGTATTATTATTAATAACGCTCTCTCTATTTAGTATAAACTATACTTACTAATAAGCCTTAGAGGGCTACCTCTATTTTAGTATCATAGAGGGTTTATTTAAAAAAAAAGCTATTCTATAAAGTGTATAAATACTTTATCTACTTCTATAACTAAGTTTATATACTTACTATTAATTAAATTATATATTATAAAGTCTCTTATAGAGGTATTAATCAAAGCTCTCTTAAATGTTATTCTAACTATATAATTTTTATATATCTCAGATTATATAAAGAAAAAGTAGGTTTTATTAATTTAATTAATATTAAATTCTATAGCAAATATTTATACGTTTTTATATTAATAAGTATACTAAGCTTAAGGTATCTATATATAGAGTTAAGTGCTAATATTATAAAGGTTTTTTATAAGTTAGTAAAAAAAAAGAAGAAAGACAAGTATAAAGCTTTATATATAATAGAGCTTTTTATACTTCTAGCTATAAGAAACTCTTATAAGAACCTCTTTAGTTAAAAAGTTATCTCTATTTAGTAATATTTATAGCACCTTACTAAAAAGTGTAATAAAGCTATCGCTAAGCTATAAAAGCCTTAATAACCTTTTTAGCCTTAATATAATTAGCTTTACTATGTATAGCGCTATTATTACTAGCTTTATATTATATAGGTAGCGCTATTACTATTCTGTTAATTTATTTAGCTAAAATATATATTTAACTTGATAATATTTAGAGGGTTTACTTACTAATAGAAACGTATAAGGTTTCTATACTATTTTCTTTAATTAATAAAGGGTATAAGTTAAAATACTTAATAGTGTTTTTAGAATTATGCTTATATATAGGGTGAATTTTACTATAGTTTTTTTATAGGGGGGCTATATTATAACTATAAACTTAATAACCTCTTAAGAATAACTTTTTTATAATTTTAAGTTTATATATAAAATAAATACTTATTTTTAGTATTTATAGATTAAATATTTTGATTAAAAAGCTTTTAAATATACAATTTAAAACATTGAAAAATAAAAATTAAAAAACTAATTTATTTAGAATATAAAGATTATACTATTATTTTAATATAATAAGTTACTTTATAAAAATTATTTACTAAAGGTATCCATATAGTCAGTACCTATAATTTGATTAAAGCCTTTAGCTACTATCCTTGCTTTTTACTTAATTATGTTACCGTTTTTATCTTTTTTATTTTTAAATACCCACCTAGTATTAAGTGGGGTTTTATTATTAGGTAAATCAGTTAAAATCCACGTTTTCTGTGCTATTAACTCGTTTATTTCGTTATCCATAGCTTTTTCCCAGTCTAATTTATTAGCTGAATTAATAGCTTGTTTATAGGTATTTGGATCGTCAATATTAGTATTTAATACCAATATATCATTTAATTCATCTTCTTCGTTATTATAATAAGTAATAGTAGATAATTTACTATTACTATTATTCATATTAACATCTTGTTCTTCTATAGCTAATTCATCTATAGAATCAGAAGAATTAACATTGTTATTAATATTATTATTACTATTCATATTATTATTAACACTATTTTTTTCAAAAGCATTAGATATAGTGTCTATATCTATATTTTCAGCGTTAATAGTACTAGTTTCAGTATTATTAATATACTTATAAGGAAAGTTATTTTCTATAATAACTAAATCTCTAGTCCATAAGGGTTTATTAGTTTCTAAGCTAAAAACCCTATATTGAGATGAATTTATACTAAAACCTATCAAGATACCTTTAATACCTCTAGGTGATAATTTAGTTAGTTTATTAGTTTTATTTTTATAATAAACTAAAGATCCAAAAACCCTTAAGTGTGAAATATTAGGTTTCTTATTATATTTTAATTGGTACGGAGTTTTATAATTAATAGAACTATTAGGGGTTCTATTATATAAGTAAACTGCAGTACAAATAGCATCTCCCCAGAATTCTAAGGGCAAATAACTGTTATATAATAAAGCCCTTACTTTATTAAGTAAAGTTCTATTTATTCTTTCAGCAGTACCATTTTGTTCTGGTGTATAAGGACTAGACCTTTGATGTATTATAGCAGAATCAGCTAATTTAGCTGTAAACCTACTATTAACGTATTCAGTACCATTATTCTAAAAACTACCAAGACCTAACTAAGTACACCCTATCTAAAAACTACCCCCTAAAAGGAGAATTTAAGTAAAACTCAATATTACTAGCGCTATAAGAAAGATGTAAAGCTAAGATTACTCATACTAGCGTAACTAGTAAAACTACACCTAATAATTAAACAATTATCCTTATAACTATTAATCACATAGCAATATAACTAAAAGGAATAAAGTAACCATAACGTTATCTAATTAAAACAAAAAGCACACTCGTATAAATTACCTATTATAGTAGTTCCTACGATTAGCCAAAACGAATAAAAAATATATATTACGTTAGTTACCATAAAAAGTATATATTAACGGAATAACAATTCCCTAAAAGTTAATAATACAGTTATTATTGACTAAAGTTAATATTAAGTTAAGATTTGAAACCAAAACAACGGAAACGAATAATCCGTAACAAATCTATAAACTATAACTATAATAATACTACGGATCTAGAATACCCGAATCGGATAAAACAAAGCCGTAATAATTAACTTTATAATAAGGTTTTTACAGTTAATTACCTATTATAGTAATTACTTAATTAAGTAATTACCTAACTAAGTAAAGGTTTGCGAGGAAAAAATGTATTATATATACGATGAATTTTTCCGCTTAGAACAGATTTTGAGGAAGCAAGCAATTCAACAGTTTTATCTATTTAACTACTACTTATTACTACTACCTACTATTCACTATTATTATTAGTATTATTTCTTTTATATTAGTAATAACTATTTATACTGGTTATAAATGGTTAGTATTGAATACGAGGAATTCTACTATAATAATCAACAAAACGAAAAGTTTCCCCCTTTTATTATATCAAATACTACCCCTACTCTTAATGACATTACCTCTATTATACACGCTTTTACACAGAGCAACCCTAATAAGTTAACATAATCGCAAAAGCCTTATATACATCCTAATCATAGACTAGATATTATGATAATCACTGCTAAATTCACCTCAAAGACAAAGAAATACCAGGACACTACCTAAGGGACAGCAACCCTAGACGGTCTGGATATAATATAACTATCCTAGACACTCACCCTAGGACCTTAGCAATAATGCATTCCAGCAATAGCAAGATCGCTAGGAAGCCAGCCAAACCACTTAATAAAATGCTATAAATCTAACGATTAGAACTAGTCATTCTACAACCAACCCCCTAACAACTCTACTACGAAGAACAGCAAATCCAGAAGGAAATAGAAATAATCTCGCGAGAAGACGCTAGACAGGCGTGGTTACGCTAATAGGAAGAATTAGAGGAAGAACCAGAACACCAACATAACCCTCTAACAGAACAACAACTCCTCAGTACGACCAGCAACTAGACCTTTAGAGAAGGAGAAAGCTCGCCTTACGATTCAGACGAACCTCATAATGTTGCTTAATAACGTGCTCAGACAGAGATCGCCTATAGGTTCACCCCTAATATAGACGACTTCAGCTCTAAAGAGGACTCTGACGACCAGGAAGACAGAATCAAGCAACTCCTGAAATACCAGGAAATCGACATGCTTCAAGACAGGCAATAACGCCACTTCTTTAGCACCTCACCAGCCTAATGAGACTGGGACTATATCCCTTAGCTACACACAGAAGACCACCCTGCGCTGAGAATTAACTATTAACTCTATTACACCCTCTTCTGGCCCTAATGCTTCCATAACAAATGCAAAGAATATATAGGAGATAAGCATAACTATCGCTTTTACCCCAGAAGGCAGAACGATAAACCTATCTGTGAGATTTACCTGATATCCACTATGATTAGATAGACTATAATACTGTTTAAAGACAGCCTTATAGTCTTTAAACCTAGCCTATAATTTCCTATGAGATGTTAGCATAACGATAACATAAAATAGGATAAATGCTAACGCAACGAATACTAAGTTTATTACTAAGATAAGGCTTACATATAGAGAATTATAAAAAACAGACTAAGACCTCCTTAGGTCAGAATCTGCGAAAACAGCCTCACTAAGGCAGTATGGGAGGGAAAGCAAATCACCTACCTAGGATAACCAGAGCAGTTAAAAAACTAGACTTACCTACTAACTACAGATCATAACAGGCAATAAGGAAAAGATCTATCTATCAGATGTTATAAGGGTATAAGAATAATATAGAACTCAAAGTCACTATTAACAAACAGATAACACTTACGCTAATTGATAGCGGAGCTGAAGCAAATTTCATTGCCCCCCAAGCTATTAATAGGCTAGAAATATAATAGGGAGGAAAAGAACGACCACATCAGTTACACACAGCAGAAGGAGAAGAATTTAAGTATAAAGGAGGTACTATCTATAATGAGACTGCGCCCCTTGAGATAAGCTACCTAAATCAAAAAGAAAGAATCTAATTCAATATTGCTGATCTAGGAATATATAACACAGTGCTAAGACTACCCTAGCTACGAATAAGCAACCCACAGATAGATTAGAGTAAAGGCTAACTCTATTAGGACCATGATGATTCAGTCCCTGAGCAGCCCTGTTAGAATCAGGCCTCAAATAAATCAATACGATAAGGAACAGCAAAATGATACCTCTGTTACCTTAAGGCAAAAGAAGCTATATCATAATCACTAACAGCGATAGATCCTAAACAGAAGAACGATCTACTTCTGTCTATCCCAGAAGAATACAGAGTTTATAAGAAACTCTTTGCAGCTGAATTAGAAACAGGACTGCCTGAACACACCAGCTTTAATCACAAAATACCCCTCAAAGAAGGAAAAGAACCACGATTTAATAAAATCTACAGACTTAACCAGACAGAGATAGAAGCCCTAGATAAATATCTTAATAAAAACCTTAAGAAGGGATATATTAGACCTTTAACATCACCAGCAGGAAGTCTAATCCTATTCGTACCTAAGAAAAACGGAAAGTAACAACTATATATCGATTACTATATGCTTAATAAGATAATAATTAAGAACTGCTACCCACTACTGCTTATCGACAAAATAAGACGACTCCTCTATAGAGCTAACTGGTTTACAGCTCTCAACCTCAAAGGAGCCTACAACCTGATCAGAATGAAGCAAGGAGAAGAATGGAAGACCGCCTTCAGAACACGAAAAGGATATTGTAAAAGCGTGTATAATAGAGGTAATATCATTAAGAGTAGGGGTAGTATTTGATATAATAAAAGGGGGAAACTTTTCGTTTTGTTGATTATTACAATACAATTCCTCGTACTCAATACTAACCATTTATAACCAGTATAAATAGTTATTACTAATATAAAAGAAATAATACTAATAATAGAAGTGAATAATAGTAATAGGTAGTAGTAGTTGAATAGATAAAACTGTTGAATTGCTTGCTTCCTCAAAATCTGTTCTAAGCGGAAAAATTCATCGTATATATAATACATTTTTTCCTCGCAAACCTTTACTTAGTTAGGTAATTACTTAATTAAGTAATTACTATAATAGGTAATTAACTGTAAAAACCTTATTATAAAGTTAATTATTACGGCTTTGTTTTATCCGATTCGGGTATTCTAGATCCGTAGTATTATTATAGTTATAGTTTATAGATTTGTTACGGATTATTCGTTTCCGTTGTTTTGGTTTCAAATCTTAACTTAATATTAACTTTAGTCAATAATAACTGTATTATTAACTTTTAGGGAATTGTTATTCCGTTAATATATACTTTTTATGGTAACTAACGTAATATATATTTTTTATTCGTTTTGGCTAATCGTAGGAACTACTATAATAGGTAATTTATACGAGTGTGCTTTTTGTTTTAATTAGATAACGTTATGGTTACTTTATTCCTTTTAGTTATATTGCTATGTGATTAATAGTTATAAGGATAATTGTTTAATTATTAGGTGTAGTTTTACTAGTTACGCTAGTATGAGTAATCTTAGCTTTACATCTTTCTTATAGCGCTAGTAATATTGAGTTTTACTTAAATTCTCCTTTTAGGGGGTAGTTTTTAGATAGGGTGTACTTAGTTAGGTCTTGGTAGTTTTTAGAATAATGGTACTGAATACGTTAATAGTAGGTTTACAGCTAAATTAGCTGATTCTGCTATAATACATCAAAGGTCTAGTCCTTATACACCAGAACAAAATGGTACTGCTGAAAGAATAAATAGAACTTTACTTAATAAAGTAAGGGCTTTATTATATAACAGTTATTTGCCCTTAGAATTCTGGGGAGATGCTATTTGTACTGCAGTTTACTTATATAATAGAACCCCTAATAGTTCTATTAATTATAAAACTCCGTACCAATTAAAATATAATAAGAAACCTAATATTTCACACTTAAGGGTTTTTGGATCTTTAGTTTATTATAAAAATAAAACTAATAAACTAACTAAATTATCACCTAGAGGTATTAAAGGTATCTTGATAGGTTTTAGTATAAATTCATCTCAATATAGGGTTTTTAGCTTAGAAACTAATAAACCCTTATGGACTAGAGATTTAGTTATTATAGAAAATAACTTTCCTTATAAGTATATTAATAATACTGAAACTAGTACTATTAACGCTGAAAATATAGATATAGACACTATATCTAATGCTTTTGAAAAAAATAGTGTTAATAATAATATGAATAGTAATAATAATATTAATAACAATGTTAATTCTTCTGATTCTATAGATGAATTAGCTATAGAAGAACAAGATGTTAATATGAATAATAGTAATAGTAAATTATCTACTATTACTTATTATAATAACGAAGAAGATGAATTAAATGATATATTGGTATTAAATACTAATATTGACGATCCAAATACCTATAAACAAGCTATTAATTCAGCTAATAAATTAGACTGGGAAAAAGCTATGGATAACGAAATAAACGAGTTAATAGCACAGAAAACGTGGATTTTAACTGATTTACCTAATAATAAAACCCCACTTAATACTAGGTGGGTATTTAAAAATAAAAAAGATAAAAACGGTAACATAATTAAGTAAAAAGCAAGGATAGTAGCTAAAGGCTTTAATCAAATTATAGGTACTGACTATATGGATACCTTTAGTAAATAATTTTTATAAAGTAACTTATTATATTAAAATAATAGTATAATCTTTATATTCTAAATAAATTAGTTTTTTAATTTTTATTTTTCAATGTTTTAAATTGTATATTTAAAAGCTTTTTAATCAAAATATTTAATCTATAAATACTAAAAATAAGTATTTATTTTATATATAAACTTAAAATTATAAAAAAGTTATTCTTAAGAGGTTATTAAGTTTATAGTTATAATATAGCCCCCCTATAAAAAAACTATAGTAAAATTCACCCTATATATAAGCATAATTCTAAAAACACTATTAAGTATTTTAACTTATACCCTTTATTAATTAAAGAAAATAGTATAGAAACCTTATACGTTTCTATTAGTAAGTAAACCCTCTAAATATTATCAAGTTAAATATATATTTTAGCTAAATAAATTAACAGAATAGTAATAGCGCTACCTATATAATATAAAGCTAGTAATAATAGCGCTATACATAGTAAAGCTAATTATATTAAGGCTAAAAAGGTTATTAAGGCTTTTATAGCTTAGCGATAGCTTTATTACACTTTTTAGTAAGGTGCTATAAATATTACTAAATAGAGATAACTTTTTAACTAAAGAGGTTCTTATAAGAGTTTCTTATAGCTAGAAGTATAAAAAGCTCTATTATATATAAAGCTTTATACTTGTCTTTCTTCTTTTTTTTTACTAACTTATAAAAAACCTTTATAATATTAGCACTTAACTCTATATATAGATACCTTAAGCTTAGTATACTTATTAATATAAAAACGTATAAATATTTGCTATAGAATTTAATATTAATTAAATTAATAAAACCTACTTTTTCTTTATATAATCTGAGATATATAAAAATTATATAGTTAGAATAACATTTAAGAGAGCTTTGATTAATACCTCTATAAGAGACTTTATAATATATAATTTAATTAATAGTAAGTATATAAACTTAGTTATAGAAGTAGATAAAGTATTTATACACTTTATAGAATAGCTTTTTTTTTAAATAAACCCTCTATGATACTAAAATAGAGGTAGCCCTCTAAGGCTTATTAGTAAGTATAGTTTATACTAAATAGAGAGAGCGTTATTAATAATAATACAGCTACTATAAAAATGTTAGCTAGCTTAATTAAATAAGAAGAATAGCAGATAGTAAAACAATAATAGAGATAGTGTTAATAGCATAAGTAATATATAAAAGAGAGAATAAGTTCATTATTTAATAATCTATAATAATTAGGTAATTATAAACTATATTATTACTAAAGTAAAGTTAAAGATTATAAAGTTCTATCTATACATATAAGTATAGCTAAAATTATGAGAGGGATATAATTAAAAACTTAAGAAGTTATTACGGATTATATAACTAAAAGCTATACATATTATTAGGAAGTACAGAGTTAGAAGGTCTATCGCTCTAAGTAAGTAAACTTATAATAAATAGCTAGAGGTCTTTTTAAGAGGTTATTATTATTAATTAAATAATGTTT